TTGAAAATTTCGACCATCGCGTGGACGTCTGTAAATCCAGTCGTGATGAACATTTGAGTGATATTATTTTTCATACATAAATGGTATAAATGAACCTTCAAAATAAAGTACCCAACTTGATTTGAATATCAATCTTTCTCGTTTTAATATGCGTTTACTTTCCTGCGAACGGTTTGGACAACCCCATATATTTCACCATCGATTATCACATTTTACCTGAAGGAAAAGGGGTAAAAGATACTACCGCCATCTATCAGACAGCAGCAAAACACAAAAATGAATTTAGGTATCTACCTTTAAAAGAGACTATTTGGTTCTGCTGTTGTCTCATAGTTGTCTTTAGGGTCTTCAATTTCAATTTGGCACCTCTATAATGTTTATTTTAAGAATAGAATAAGTTTTATTTCCATTTGACTACAAAGTAGTATTGGAATATACGACGCCCTTCCCGCTTCGGTTGGCCCACTTTAAGATTTGTACCAAAATATGCCTTTATAAACTAAACATGACAAAACTATTTACTTAAAAACGGTCAACCACCTTATTATCAAAACATAAAGTTGCCAAGAAATTACAAATTCTGAGTCCCAAATAATTATGGTCGCTAGGCGGCGCTGTCATCGCGCATACAGCGGATAGATAGTCTTTGTCTAGGCTACTATTTCCACCTGACAAAATAGGATGCTGAGCCAATGAGGCCAGGGATATCTCCAACGAGACCCTTCACAGAGACATCGAGGGACTATTTTTAGGAACAGACGTAGTTGCGTTATGGCCAAGCGGTATCTGAAAACAACCCTCTGTTGCGTAAACGAGTAGACCACACAGTCGAGCAAGTTCGCAAGCACCCAAGACCGCGGCTCGCACTGTGAACAAAATTAAACCGTTAGGCTCAACCAAAACTACAATTTTTCACATACAAATTACTGAGTGAATTTTTTGATCAATTTAAAATTACTGAGTTAACAATGCCAAGGCACGCCTCCAACGGACGCACTTACTCCTCCTTGCTATTCCATTCCATCATGTCTTTCCCCTTCCCTCAATTTTGGCTCTCGGTATGTTACGTATTGCATTACGAATCCGATTTTTCATATCCTCTAACAAAAATTTCTCAAAGTTAGGCAAAACTATTGACATCTATTGACAATTTGAGGATTATTTATGTTTTGATTAGGTATTTGTTTTGTTGTATTTCATGGCCTGCATCTGAATATGCATTTCAACAAAAAATATGCTTTTTGTTATTAGGTTACTTACCTTTTAGCGATATTTTGTAATGTTTTCCAAAAGGGTGATGAATAAAAAAGAATTCCAGACAAATTAGTTTAAGAAAATAAAAGTTTAAGGGACTTCCGTATAAAATTTTCTTTGGCCTACCTTACATTTTAGGTTGTTTGGTTAATACAGGGTGTAAACGTTATGATAGTTATTACTTAATGAGTGATAGAGGGGGTTTAAAGAAGCAAAAAGTTTCATATAACATGGGGGACAAAACGGCATTTTTTTAGAGAAAAGCGACTTTAAAGTAAAATAAAATCTGACAACGCCGCAATGCCAGAAGCAAATTACGACGGAACGCAGTGTAAATAACGATGTAGCTTGTTATTTTTGGCTCTTAGGTATTATTTAATTATTTGATAATGTACTAGTAAAATGCAAACAATTAAAAGAACGGACTTACCACTAAAAAAAACCACTTATAAATAGGGAACACAATTTTGATACATACATTGTTTTTCTTCTTAAAACCCACACTGCACTTTTTTGTATTAAAAGGAGGTGTTCAAAATGTCGTCCTCTACTTGCCACACAAGCTTCATTACAACGAACCTAGTTTCTTCTTACTCTCGATCCTCGTAGTTGTCCATTTATTATTTCAGCCGCATTAAACATTTTTTCGCGAAGTTGTGCTTCAAATGTTATTGGACCAGCCCCATAAACCATCCCTTCAAGTTCTCCGCAATACCAAAAATCCAACGGATTGAGGTCAGGAGATCTTGCTGGTCATTTTCGAGGATCAGAAGCATTTCGACCGATCCAGCGATTTGGATAATGTGCATTCGAATACTGAATGACGCCTCTAAAAATTTGTGGTGGTGCCCTGTCATGAAAAAACCACAAATTCTGTCTCCGTTGTGATGGCATGTTGTCTAAGGTCTGTTCCAAAAGTTCTGGTAGGTTATTGGCTAGAAAGCTAAGGTATCCTTCTCCTGACAATTTCGGGGGTAACTCGAAAGGGCCAGTTACTTGATCGTAAAGAATACCCGCCCAAATATTTATTTTAAAACGTTGTTGGAAGTGACCTTCACGAATGGTATGAGGATTTTCTTGGGCCCACGTGTGAGTGTTATAGAAATTTAATATCCCATCTCGCGTTAAATGTTTAATGTTTTTGTGAAAAAACCACTGACAGAATGTTAGTCTACGAGGATAGTCTTCTGGTAACAAGACCTGTATAGTGGAATTCACAGAAATATCGCTTTTTAAGATTCAAGATTGCAGTTACGCCACCTAGCAGTCATTTCAGAAACTTGAAAATATTTTTCAGGTTTTTCTTTGGGCCGTTTTGGTAAAAAAACTTTTTGTCGCAAGCTTCTGCGACGGATAGGTTCTCAGGTACAGTACCTCGCATCCTTCATTACGTATTTATTACTTCATAAAGTGACTGGATTATTCCACCACAACGTCTTTATTAACGAGGTGGCTTGTCTTCTGACCTACCCACGCGCCTTGCTGTAACTTTATCGTAGCCCCGGCAAAAGTTGAAGCGGTTGCGGGTCGACGGCGACGACATTAAAAGTCAACTTTTTCCAGCTTTCTTATTTTCGAGCACTCCACACCGCAGGAGATAGTGAAGCTCGAAGGCAGGCGACAACAAAGTCAAAGTTTAGTTTGAAAACTTACGCGCTAACGACGGCCTGAAGTGGATGGCTCGCTGATAGCTCAGAATTGCCTCATCAAGACGGTTCTTCTCTTGTAACAGTAGAGCCCTGCAACAAAATAGAACAAGGAACGGTTAGCCATGGGGGTACAACTCACGTAAAAATAAGGGGAAACTCAATAGACGCTGCGGCACGGGTGACATTATGTAACGTTTTTTTTTGACATTATATTGTTTGGTAAGACTATACTTTAGCGCATACAGCAAATATTTAATTTATTATTTTAAAATGAAAGACTAGGATGTAACTTAAGGAAATATCATTTTTTCATTAAGGAACCCTCTGCTTGCTATTTTATAACGGGTGATTTTTTAAGAGGTATATTATTAAAACACAAAAAATTTGAAAAAACGTTTAAATCTTTATTTGAGTCGATAGTACGGTCGATATAATTTAATGTTTAAAGATTATTTAATGTAAATGTTGGCCGCGGCTCCGCTTTAGATGGCCAATGCGCAAGGTCCAATTTTGGCACACTCTCTCCAACATATCGGCCGGTATCTCAAGAATAAATGCTTCAATATTGGCTTCCAGTGCGTCAATCGTTGCTGGTTTATCCCTGTAAATATTAGCCTTAACATGGCCCCACAAGAAATAGTCCAACGGCGTTAAATCACACGATCTAGGCGGCCAATAGACGGGCCCCAAACGTGAGATAAACTGTTCACGGAACTCGCCTCTCAATAGGGCCATTGTTTCGTGTGCGGTGTGGCATGTGGCACCGTCTTGTTGAAACCACATGTCAGCCAAGTCCAGCTCTTCCATTTTGGGCAAAACAAAGTTTGTTATCATCGCACGGTAGCGCTCGCCATTCACAGTTACGTTCCGGTCATTGTCGTCTTTGAAGAAGATGATGCCACCGGCCCATAATCCACACCAAACAGTGATTTTTTCGGGATGCATTGGTAGCTTTTGCAATACTTCTGGCTGGTCTTCACTCAAGATGCGGCAATTTTGCTTGTTAACGTACCCATTCAACCAGAAATGAGCTTCGTCGCTGAACACAATTTTTCGATAAAAATCTTCCTCCAACTTTGCCAAATTGGAAACGTTGTGGGAGGTCGTGTGGCTTCAATTCTTGCACCAGCTGTATCTTATAAGGTTTTACACCCAAATGCTGTCGCAAAATTTTCCACGTAGTGGAGTAACAGAGGCCCAATTGCTGCGAACGACGGTCATCACTAACACTGGCGGATACAGCCGCAATATTTTCTTCAGTCCTCACTCTACGTCTGCGTGTTGGTGGTTTAATGTCCAATAATGTAAAGTGGGTTCGAAATTTAGTCACAAGCTTCCGAATAGCTCCCTCAGTAGGCCGACCAAATTGCCCATAAATTGGAAGCAGTGCTCGATGCACTCTCTTAACCGAGAATGAATTTTGATAGTAAAATTCAATAATTTGCAAGCGTTGTTGGTTCATAAATCGTTTCATGGTTAAATTATAGACCAAACTGAATAAGTTTGACAATGACACAAGATACGAACCACGCGTCATTTGTCAAAATCAGTGTTGCCAAAAAGATACTAGCAAAAAAATCACCCATTAGAACTTCAAAGTTACAATTTTGGTGGTGATATTCTAGAATATACTGTTTTATACGCTGTTTTTTTGTGCAAGAGGATGCTACAAATTATAAGAATATAAGATACACTGTATAGTAGGTACTAAGGAAGATAGATGTGAAACTGTAAAAAATCGTTGGTTTTCAAGGAAAAAGGTTAAAAACTAGCCGTATAATAAGCTGAAATGACAGTTCCAAATACATACCTTTAACACATTGGCTGCCATGTGAAACACCGGTGATACACAGGCATGTTTAACTCAGAGGCCACGTGACTCACATGTGTTTCACATGCAGCATACTTCTAAATTAGAGATATATCCGCTTGGCTTGTGAATTAGGTTTAACTACTTATACTGTGGCATACTGATAATATAGACAACTCATTGAGATATATCAAATCACTGGTTGCCTACCTTTGTAGGGTAAATTTACGACTGCACTTTTACTATATTCGGGTTGGTTCTTATACAGATTTTGCGGTTTATGGGTTATGAGTGCACAGCTAAAAAGAGGGGAAATTGTGGGGAAGGAAAACACTACAGGACTCGTTATAGGTAAATGGAAAGACAAAAGGGATGTTCCGTTCTTGAGTACTAAGCACACGCTGGATATAAAGGCCACTGGGAAGAAACACAGAAAGAGCGAGGAGGTAAAGAAACTTTCTGCCATATTAGAATATAATGCTGGTAAAGATGGTATAGATGTTTCTGATCAAATGGCTAGCTACTTTTCGCCACTCCGGAAAACAATTAGATGGTATCATAAACTAATGTTCGAAATTCTCCTGAATACGGCTGTCATCAATTCTCTTAATATTTGCAAGCACTTCAAAAAACAAAACATACAAATTGGTGCTTTTAGAGAGATGTTCATTGAGAGCCTTACTCAAGTCCCAAGTGTCCCAGTACATGAAGATAAACATAGTCTGATCAGTACAGAAGAAAGAACAGCAGACGGGAGAAAGAAAAGGAAGAGATGCATTTCATGTTATGAGAAAAAAGCCAGAGAAGGAGGACGAGTTGTGGGAATGAAACAAGCTAAACTGGTCTCTACCAAGTGCGGGCAATGCAATATTCATTTATGTTTTACTTGTTTCACTGAAAAACATTAGTTTTATTTTCTATTTCTTCTGTGATCACCGGTGATACTGATGGCACTGGAGAAATACCGATTAACCTGTATGCCAGGTGTATCACCGGTGATTTTAATTTTTTGCAGAAAAAAACATCTTTTTTGAGTTGTTTATACGTTTTTTATGCCAATAAAGCTTTCGTAACCATGCTTTTGTGATAATTTGGCTTTGGCCTCTAATAAATGAAAATGACCCCTTATGGGGGCAGCCAAAGTGTTAAGAGTATACTTTAGCCCATAAAGGTCGAAATTCTTTTTTTTTCGGAAAACTTTGAAGATATCAGCAAAAATTACCATTTTTTAATGAAAATAGGTTTGAAACTATAAAAAATCGATTTTGAAAAAAAAAGGTCCAAAAATAGCCGTGTAATAAGCTATAATAACAGCTCAAAATATACTAAGTGACATATAAATCCGAACACCCAGTTTAAATGGTTTTATTTTAATAAAATTTTGTATAAGTACTTAATGAAGCATAATAAGTAAATGATAAAAATTTCAAAATGATTGCACTGCTTTAAAGCCCTTTGAGCTTTGATAATGTGTGGATGCACCCTGATGTGCTACGCATTCTCCAACGCGCCTAGGCATGCTTCTGATCAGGTGGTCAATGTCCTCCTGTGGTATCTCATTCCAGGCAACCACCAACTCCTCTCGAAGTGCTTCTACAGTCTGAGGAGGACGTTGTAAATTGAGCAATCTCCTACCCATCATATCCCACACGTGCTCAATTGGGGATAAGTCGGGAGATCTTGGTGGCCATGGTAACAATGTGACATCGTTATGTTGAAAGAAGTCTATTGTGACTCTTGCAACATGTGGTCGGGCATTATCTTGTTGGGAAGTTGGATCTGCCAGGGTGTCAAGATAGGGTAAAAGATGGGGTTATAGAACTTCGTGGATATAACGCAGCGCGTTCATGTTACCTCTGATGAAGATTAAAAGTGACCTGGAACCATAAGCTGTAGCACCCCAAACCATAACTCCAACAGTGTGATGAACATGTCTTTCAACAAAAAACTGTGGATTCCTCCTTTCACCACGTCGCCTTCTAACCCTGGCACGACCATCGTGCATGCCTAAACAAAATCGAGACTCGTCACTAAAGACAATACTGTTTCATTCCTGATCCCAGAGTGACCGTTGTCTGCACCACTCAAGGCGATTACGTCGGTGTTCTCGAGTTAAAGGGAGGACCCAACTTCTCATTCGTCGGTAAACACTTCGCATGCCAATAGGTCTTCCGTGTTCTGCAAACCATTCATTTGCTACGGACCTGGTAGTAGAGAAACGGTCCCTTAAGGCCAATAATCTTAGGCGGCGATCTTCACGGTCTGTTGTTCTACGGCGGCGTCCAGTGCCCCTTGCTCTTTGCGTACGGCCTTCTCGAAGCCATGCCTGACAACACCTAACCACTTCTGTGCACTCTAACTGCAATTGCCCGAAAAGAAAGTCCAGCTTCCCGAAGTCCCACTATACGGCCCCTATCAAACTCACTAAGTTGACGCAATCGTACAAGTCTCCGTACTCTAGGCATCGTAACCGATCGTAAAGGATGTCAAGAACCAAAATCCGCCAACGTTGATTCTTTACTGCGGCTGAAATATTCATTTTTAGAGCGTTAGTGAATTAAAAAAAAGCAGTATAACAACCGGAATGTCCAACTGATAAGGCTGAAAATTTTTTCACTTGTTATGTACAGTAAGATAAATACATTCACCAACTTTTATTAAAATAAAACAATTTAAACTGGGTGTTCGGATTTATATGTCACTTAGTATACATGCCGCAAATGATGGTTTAACATTAAGGTTAAATAAAGATTAACGGCCATTCCATCAAATCAGCAAAAAACTTGCATGTTCTTCTTTGTTAAGATTTTCATTATTTAGTGACTGGCAATAGGTAGTTTTCTAGTAATTTCTCATATTATATCATATTTAATTATGTATATTTTGTGACATCAGCTTCACTTTAAATAATTCTTCAAGTACATATGTACATACAAAAAGTAAATAGATTATAACTATAATATAGGAAGAAAAATAACCGAAGTATTTTTGTGCAAGGCATACGGCATTCTTCAAAATAGTGTATTTAGCTAACGCTATCGTAGGACACGAGGTAGATTTAGTACAGTATCACATGCTGGCCACACCTTCAAATCGCATTTTCATGGCAATCCTGTGCTGATTACACATTTCTGCTTTAGTATATCAGTAAGAATTTGCCAAACCAAATCAAGTTTTATTACTATCCATGATTTGGCAACATCGCAACTAGATGCAGAAATTATGATAGCGATTGGAATATTTATCTGAAATAAAAGAAATTACTACTTAACAATGTTCTATTTTCATCATTAAAATAATCCAAAATTACTTTGTTGCGATGAGCACCGTCACAGAAATATACAGTTTATGCTATATTCATATAATGTTGAGCATTCTCTTGTGTAAACAAGAAAAAAACAGCTTATAAAGGAGTATTCTATACTATCATTATATTATAGTATTACCACCCAACATGTAACTTTGAAGTGCTATAAGATAGAAAAGAAAAAAATATATTTTCGTGCAAGTTACATCCTAATCTTTCATTTTTAAATAAGAAATGAAATATTTGCGACACTATGTAGGTATTGCTACGAGGTGTGTGAGCACTAGATAATGGACGGTTGTTGTAAACTCGTTTTGTAGTTGTACGTGTTGCCTAAACTTCATGATGCTTCAGCTATCAATGTTTAGCTCTAATGTGATGAAAAATCTGCTTCAGATATGGCATTATTGGAGGTCTAAGCTTTAAGTTGTAAGTCTGGAAATTACACATGAAAATTTGTTCACAAAACATATACTTGCTTTCAGCAACCAACAATGCGCGTAGTTGATGGATGCTCTCAGTTATCACAGCGACAAACGTGAAATGAACTATTTGAACCTTAAAAACTACCTAGTCTTCAAGATGACATTTTATTGTTTTTTTGACGTTTTATAGGTTTTCTACATAATAGCCAAGCGGGGACTTTTTTGACTCGGAGATTCAGTTATCGTCTTACGATGAAAGGGAGGGTCACCTTTACGCTCTAAAGTTATTTTGGGAAAATAAGTATTTTAGTTGATCTGTGCAATTTTTCAATTTTCTGGCAGTTATTATGTTAATGTTCAAATGTTCTCTTGTAGGCTTTTATACTTAGACAAAACAAATAAAGTAAAGAAAAGCTGTGCAGCTTTTGAAAATAAAACAGAGAAAATTAAAATCGGCCAATCTTCGTTTTTTGACGCTTCGGAGGCTTCCGATAATTTTCTATGCTGAAAATTGGGGATTGTGGAGGGCAGTAGTATTTTTGCGCCACTAAAAATTCTCTGTTACACTGATTCCGGACTTTTCACAGTCTGGTCATATCTTTCATTTAAATTGAAAAAATAGCGTTATTTCTGAAAAAAATTAAAACTTATTAGCAACGCAGTTACTAGAGTTGTTTCTCTGGTAGAGATTCATCGCCGGTTGAGTGAAATATATGGGAAACATGTCCTCAAATGGTGAATTCCTCGTGCTTGAAAAAAATATGCGAACCTTATTTTTGAGATTACCCTCGTATCATTATCTGATCGGGAATGATTACGATCATGACAAAATTTGATGAATATCGGTTCAGATTAGGGTTATTGTAATTTGATTACTGTTGGTCCAAAGAGATATTTAAGTATATTCCAAAAGACAAGGGCAATATGTCTGGTGACCATATGTGGGTATATTTTTTTTTTTGTGACGCCAAAAATTGAAAAAGCAGTATAACATTTGTCTTATAGATCCTAACAAGCAATGCATATTGTGAAAGGGTGACCAGTTTATTAGATGACATGTATTCGAAAGAGTGGAAATAGGTTTAATTAAAAGCGAACTACTAATGAGATAAAACTTTTATGGAAATTGTTTAAATTTTAAAATTTTGTTGAGTAATCCAAACGGCACCAAACTGGTAGAATCGGTGAAGGCAGAAAACAAGTACGTTTTGGTTTTCTCATATTTTGATCATACATGTTTGTTTGATCTGTAATCTCATAACTTGGCAAAGAAATTTTGGGTAACAACTTCAGTTTTAATAAAAAAAACTTCGTTATGCTTATTATATATTATATACTAAGTGACATATAAATCCGAACACCCAGTTTAAATGGTTTTATTTTAATAAAATTTTGTATAAATACTTAATGAAGCATAATAAGTAAATGATAAAAATTTCAAAATGATTGCACTGCTTTAAAGCCCTTTGACCTTTAATAATGTGTGGATGCACCCTGATGTGCTACGCATTCTCCAACGCGCCTAGGCATGCTTCTGATCAGGTGGTCAATGTCCTCCTGTGGTATCTCATTCCATTCAACCACAAACTCCTCTCGAAGTGCTTCTAGAGTCTGAGGAGGACGTTGCAAATTGAGCAATCTCCTACCCATCATATGCCACACGTGCTCAATTGGGGATAAGTCGGGAGATCTTGGTGGCCATGGTAACAATGTGACATCATTATGTTGAAAGAAGTCTATTGTGACTCTTGCAACATGTGGTCGGGCATTATCTTGTTGGAAGTTGGATCTGCCAGGGTGTCAAGATCGGGTAAAAGATGGGGTTCTAGAACTTCGTGGATATAACGCTGCGCGTTCATGTTACCTCTGATGAAGATTAAAGGTGACCTGGAACCATAAACTATAGCACTCCAAACCATAACTCCAACAGTGTGATGAAAATGTCTTTCAACAAAAAACTGTGGATTCCTCCTTTCACCACGTCGCCTTCTAACCCTGGCACGACCATCGTGCATGCCTAAACAAAATCGAGACTCGTCACTAAAGATAATACTGTTCCATTCCTGATCCCAGAGTGACCGTTGTCTGCACCACTCAAGGCGATTACGTCGGTGTTCTCGAGTTAAAGGGAGGACCCAGTGTGGCCGGTATGAAAACAAGCCAAAACTTCTCATTCGTCGGTAAACACTTCGCATCCCAATAGGTCTTCCGTGTTCTGCAAACCATTCATTTGCAATGGACCTGGTAGTGGAGAAACGGTCCCTTAAGGCCAATAATCTTAGGCGGCGATCTTCACGGTCTGTTGTTCTACGGCGGCGTCCAGTGCCCCTTGCTCTTTGCGTACGGCCTTCTCGAAGCCATGCCTGACAACACCTAACCACAGTGTCTACACTTCTTTGCACTCTAACTGCAATTGCCCGAAAAGAAAGTCCAGCTTCCCGAAGTCCCACTATACGGCCCCCCCTATCAAACTCACTAAGTT